ATAAGATTATTCCTTGGCTGGAAGCTCCAAGAAGATGGGTATTCAAATATTTGGTTGTTTCCAATGTATATACAATGGTTATGACTGATTTCATGGCACGTAATATGTGGAGAGCTTGAGTTTTAACCTCAGTGGGAGAACAGTAAAAAACACTGAAATGTTTAGTGCGTCACAAGATAAATGTGTTCATTACTTATTTAGAATGTATGTAAGTTAGAAATATCTGAACATGTATTGTATTAATCTTCCCTTATCCTTGTTTATTGGTGCATTAACTGTGAATGTACTTATAATAGGGGGACCCAGTGTAATGGAAAGAGTACTTTAAATGTCTGTATTTATCATTTATGAGAGGTGCTAGCTGTGTAAAGTAAAAGATAAATAAGGCCATTATGTATGAATTACATGCATGAAATATATGTAGGTTATATAATAAACAAATGCATCATAATTAGTATTATGCTCATGCGGTTTTAAAAACATGATGTGCGTGTAAAAACATGTTAATTATTGTGTATAAAACAATTCACAACCAAACATACAAATGTTTATCGTCAAGTCAAGATGCTTTCTAATAATTTGAATAAAGCAGTCGTCACATTTTCCAAGAGGTCAGCATTAGTCAGCTTTATCATCAGGACAAGTATGTGTGAAATTCATCACAGATATCAGAGGCACATTATAGGTTTCCTGACCAGCGAAGGTGGCACACTCATGAAGATTCATATTGTACAGCTGCAGAGATACAACAGTGGTGAGAAATATTTTTGGTCCCAACGCATACAAATGAGAAGGAAAAAATTCCAAAACAAGTTGTGTGAAATATGTATATGAGACCAAAACATGGAAATGAACATGGAGATGATTCATTTAGGTTATGTTACAGTGCTTCCAAAATGATGTAGTTCTTGTAAATGGAAATTATTTTAAAGAAAATACTTGCCTCATGACAGTCTGTTAACTGCAAATCCTGTGTGTCCCAATAAAACCTGATTTGTCTTAACAGACGCTCAAGAGCGTTTCAGCCTTAGATAATTCCATTATTTACTTCTTTATAGCTCAGAATCTTTATTGTTTTGTTGCTGCTGTTGTCTCTTCACAGTCAAGATAATCAGTTTTAAGACAGGCATTTCGTTTAGTCACTGTAAGTAACAGAACTTATGCAAATGTGCCTCAGTGCTGATGATGTACGAGGGCGCTCACACTTCTCTGTTACAGTAAGTGTGCATAAATGATGGCTAAGCAAGCTTTTTTCTATATATATATTTAGCCTTTTATTGGATAGTACTGCTGAAGAGTGAGAGAAAAGGGGGAGAAAAAGGGGGTGACACGCAGCAACAGGCCACAGGTCAGATTCAAACCGAGGGCTGCTGCAGCAAGGACCCAGCCTTGGTACACGGTGTGCCAGCTCTACCAGGTGAGTATTTGGGTGCCCCAGCAAACTGAACTTTAATTGTAAAAGTGGAGGTCCTGTAAGAACACTTGTAGTTTCTGATTATGAAATTAACATACAGGGAATAATGCAGCACTATTTTAAAAGGGGAAATGTAATGATTTAATGAAGCATAGCATCTTTATTTTGCATGTTTCATAATTCATTTACATCCCTGAGTGTTTTAATGCCCAACAGTACTTTGAAAAGAGAGAATTTGGGAGGTTTTAATCATTTCAAAAGAACCAAGTATGACTGTAGGTATTTAGGTTAATACTAAACATATTTATTAGGACATTAAAATCCACATTTTTCATAATAATTTAGAGTTAAGACACAAACCTCTGCAACATTCAACAGTTCAGTAGTTATATATTCTCAACAAGGTCTTTCATCAAAAGCTGTTTCACAGGGAGCTGCTTTGGCTGTGTGTGCTTATGCAAATAAATCTTCTTACGGACTTAACTTACACTCACTCTATGTATGTGATAATTCCACTTTTCCCTGTTTCAAGGCTGCGATAAGGAAATAAACTGGAAACCATCCTCTCGATAAAAGACGTCAAATGGCAAGCCTTATTTAAATTTACACTTCATTTGCAAATTCATTTGAACTGTGCCACTTCAAGTAGAGATGGATAAAACTGAACTGATGTGAGGCAGTACTACGAGGCTCACCTTGTCAGGGATGTGTACAAAAACAATTAGGCAACATATGGGTCGACATTCAGATTCCACATACAGTGTACAGAGCCTTAGTTTAGATGTTTTTTTTTCTGTCCATTTTCTTGAACAGCCAGTATATGATTTCTATCCACATTCTTTGTTTGTAAATGTAGAATGGGTTAGTGTGCTCATAGTGTTCTGTGCACAACTATATAAAAGCTGTGTTCTATTACTTTTTTTGGCTGTTTGGAGGTTAGCAGAACAAGCTGTTCACATAACAATGACATTGACAATGACATATTATCACTTTATAAAGTTGTAAAATGTGTCTGGAAGTGTGTGAAAGTGTTTCCTATTTACACATCCAGGAGAGAGCAACATTAGCATTTATTTGGAGTTCAATATTCAACCTTGTTTTAGCAGCAATTTGGTCTCCAACCATCTCCTGTGGGAAATATCAGGCCCATTAATAAAAACAAGACTAAGAGTTTACAGCCATGCAAGTAGTTGTGAGGCTGTCTTTAGGCACAGCGGTGCTTTGTGCAAAATGCAAACATCAGCATGCTAACATGTTACAGGTATAATGTTTGCCATGTTCACCATCTGTCCGTTCACGTTACACAACGAGGGGTCAGTGCTTGACCTGTGTAGAGGAGTATACGTTAGCAAATGATATAATGCAACGTTCATAGGTACCTTTCATTAATTGGTGATCAGAACACTGATATAGGCATCCCGTGGATCATTTGATTCCTACGCTGGCTGCAATGTGCCTCCCTTCACGTGCCGGGGCCACCGCGGCCCCAGATGGTCGCGCCCGGGGGCGCGCGCCATCCCGCGGCGGCGCCGGCCTCGCGCCTCGTGATGCCCTGTCAGCCCGGATGGTCTGTTCGTGGCGCCCGCATGTGGTACGGCGCCTTCTGTGCCGATGCACAAGGGCCCTGCGGCCTGGCACCTGATGCGATCAACTCATCCGCTCGCCAGACCCAGGGGCATGTGGCACTCACCATAAGCAGGGAAGTGAGCGTCCCACCGTTGAGCCCAGGTGCTCGGGTTGCAGTTTCGCTGCCTTCCGCGGTGGCCAAAGTTCTTGCCCAGGTCGGCCGCTGCATGAAGGCTGGTATTGGTCTGAAACGGTGCCCTCCGCCCCCCCCCCACACCGCCCCACCCCACCCCCGTCCCTGTGCTCCATGACTGGGCACGGTTTTCCTCCGGCTGGAAGGGCATCCGGGACTTCTCGTCCGTAAGGCCTGCCGCTTTACCCCGGAATGAACGTGGGGCGGGCTGTATTCGTGGTTGTCAGTGGTCTGGAAAAGTCCTCGTAACGGGGTTTTCGCCTGGTGATCCCCCCTAACCTGGGGCGTAAGACGCTGGCTATAAAATACCTGAATCCGCATCGCATGTTCAAGTCGGCAGTATGAGACGCCAACGCTGCGTCAATACCTTAAAAAAGCCTTATATTGAGAAAAAAAAATGCGCACAAAACGCGATTCTCTTTCCCTTCCCCTTCCTCCTGACGATAGCAGATAGACCCAATTTCTCAAATGCACTGACCAAACCTCCCACAGCTGGACGCGCTTCCACGGCAACACACACTCCTCACATGCCCCTGGGACTCGGTTACAAGAAAAAAATTGAATCAGAATGTTTTTCCCAGAGACTCGCAAAGATGAACAAATGGCTAAAACAGCCCACCGTGAAAGGTTTTTGTCGGGGTAAAAAAAGAAGAACAATGGACCTTGCATGCAAAAAAACGCTGCAACTGCCGAAACTCAAGTCAGCGCTAACCACGTGTACCTGAAAAACCACACACACACA